CGAATAATATTCGTTAGAACTTGAATATCTCCCATATCTAAGCGCTCATAACCAGGGTCAAGCTTGGGATGTGGCAGACCACACCTGAGGGGTCGTAGAGGGGTCAGAAAGGAAGGGGGATGTCGTTAACGAGGTGACAGTGATGTGAGCAACATGATATCAGTCAACAACGTCTTGTAGGCCCATTGTGCAAGATACTAGCACTAATGTTTTCGTCCACCGTCGTACATGCTAAGCATATCAAAGAACTAAAAGCATAAGAGCATCATTTTCGTGATCAGCATGTCAAATAACTTCTGTAGGCCAAGTTTCAGAGAACTTTGAGGTTTCCAAATATTGGGACACTCATGAAGTGGTCATTTCGAACGTGCTAACTTTGTCTCAAAAGTGAGTAAACTACTTCTTTTTGCACTCATTACAGTACTACTACTTCTTTGCTCACACTAGGAATTCCACTTCACTAACCTTCAAACTCTCGAATTATGAGCAAGCCATCTCGTTTGTCCCATACTTGGTTCAATTTCTCAGACTGGAGAAGACCAATCAGGCTCAAATCACTTTTGTGAATGTTACGAGGATCAGGCTATCGAATGTACTGTTCTTGCCGCCTTTCCTCGCGATTCACCTAGTAGCGCAGACTTAGCGTATCACCGTAATCCAATATTTTCGCAGTGTTTTCCATTTGCTTAGCTAAAGAGAAACGACTGTATCTTCTCCTGGGGGGGGGGGAACAATTTTGAACGAAATTCCTGCTATATGTATGGAGAAGAAGGTTTAGCGGTAGCAACCATATGAAAAAGACGGACATTTGAATGCTTCGAAGGTAAGCTAATGGGGTGTGGCACAATCACTTAAAGGCTGTGGCGGCCACAGCTTTTTAGGGGGTTGTGCCGATCCCATCAACTTGCCTCCGAAAAGAATTTTAGCGAACAAAATACATATAATTTGATAGCCTGAGTCTTGTAGTTTTCACAGATATAATTTGGAACGATTCATCTTCTTCGCTCTGAGTAGAAGCTGTTGAAAGCGCAGCTACGCAGCTATTGGAAGCGAAAAATGGAACGAACGAGATTTTGGCCTGATTCTAATGCCGTAATTTGGTACTTATTTGAGAATGGATTCATTATATGGGTATGGATAAGTAGTGCGTTGCGATGAGTACAACGTAAGTAAAAGAGTTGCTAGTTTACTCTTGAAATGTAGTTAAATCATGTTTGAAAATGACCACTATTGGGTGGTCCGATATTGAGAACCCTTAAAATTTGCTAAAACATGGCCCATGGTGGTTATTTGACATGATAATTACCAATATGTGGCTGATTATGCATGTTAGATCCTTGTGTCATGCTTACGGAAGGCAAACATAATGTTAGTGGAGGGGAGGGGGGGGGGGGGCTATTGAGACCGAAGAATGGGGGGGGGGGTCGTATCCGGCGCATCTGTGCCACACCTCTTGCTCGACCCTGCTCATAACTCCTTCCAGATAGTCGTTCGGCAGATAATAAACATATTTGAAATCAGCGTTTTAAGGCCATGGCTGGCTTGAATTCTGACCATTTCTTCGTAAGCTACAAGTATCATTCCGTAGAGCGGCTCAACTTATTGTTAGATTTACAGTTCATTGCTAATTACCGATTTATCTTGATTACTGCAAAGTTGTGTTAGGAACTCCGACCACACAGCACCATTGTGAAAAAGGCCGTTTACAAAAAAAAATTCAGAAAACCTGGGAAAGTTGCTAACGGAACTTTTTGACAGCTGATTTTACCAAACAACGTTTTGAGGAGTTTTTTTGGTGAAATTTGCATAGTTCAATCACATTTTTTCTTCTTTTTCGCGAGGGTCGCTTGGGATGAGCGGAGCTTCGATCGCTAATCAAGGCTAAGAAAATGATTGGAGAGCACACCCGCGAAAGAGATACAGGGCCCATATTAGGCGGCCGCGTGGGACCCAAGTCCCACTTACACCCGTCACTCCCAAAGATACAGAACTAAAATCTTCTCATCCACACCCGTCATTCCCGAAGATACAGAGGTGAAATCTAAACAAGTCAAAGCCTGCTTTACCAAATCGTACTTGAAGCTTAGCAAAAGACTTTGTAGGAAAATTATTGACTATTAAAAAAGTGCACTTACTTTCGGAACACCCTGCATTTCTGAATCTCAAAGGCAGTGGCTCGGCAAATCCTCGACTTTTGGTTTTTTCGCTTATCTGGAGTAATTCGACGCGCTGATTCCGGAAAACTACTTTTTAAAGCGCGAAAATGGCGAAAACCAGTATTTTCCAAACCTTCTCATCTTGAATTTGGACGAGTGGAACGCTCCCGCCATGGTTAGAGACGCAGAGTCGTTGTAGGACCCTCATGTTTTTAGCATTGCGGCATGCCGCCTTTGACGGTGGGAGAGGGATCGCGAGCTCGTCCAAGCTCGTGTAAGAATTGCTTGCGCGCACGGTTTAGAGGCAATTCTCTAGGCAGAGGTTGCACGTTGTGCACTTGGACCTGCTCCATTGTCGTGTTTCGGATGCAAGCAACCTTCCGTATAAAAATTTCGAGATGTTCGATTTTGCCGAGACACTGCCTTTAAGCTGTCTTTACGGTGCCTGCAAACAGCTACACTGCAGTATAAACAGAAAGGAACAGGAAAAACTATCCTTTTTCAGTTTATCTTGCTACGGCTTACAATTTAGAAAACATTAAGGCGTTTATACCCGGAAGTATCTTAGAATTACCCTGAGCTTTTTGACCTTCCATATCCTCTACTAAAACAATACGGCCTGCACGCTATCTGTATCGTAGTTTTTGCAAATAAACTCTGCAATCCTTTTTGACCTACAAAACATCTTCCAATTTATGTCCGTGCATTGAGTGTCGTGTCCCTCAACATATAGGCTGTCTCAGTCACAGAGCCGCAGCTTCAGCAACTCGGGCTCCTTGGGAAATCCTCAACCTAGGATAGGAAGCTAGGAAAACCTAGGAAAGAATAATAGTTTGTTACTAGTGAAAGAAGGTTATTTTTTTCATATTGAAGTCATGAATGTGTTCAAGAACGACGCTTCTCACAAGGGAATTATACCGGGTCGCAATAAGGTTTCAGCAGAAAAAATGTACATTATTAAGGCCTCCTAGGCACTAATAACGTACTTGCTTTCTAGATTTGCAAATGAAATGCTCTGTGAAAAAAGATGCGGATCGCTGGACCTACATGTTTTGCCCTGTCTACAACCATCAATACGAGCAATGATCCATTATTGATGAAACGTTCGCAGTGTTGTGGAAGCAATTAGCTATCAAACATTAAGTACCAGATAACAAACTACTTGTGCACCAGTCACGGTCCCAGGATTTCGGATCGGAGGGGGAGGGGCGGCAAAAATTTTTTTAAAATGAAGGTGCGTGGCTTAGCCACGCACTCCGAAAAAACTTTTGGGGTGCTTCTCAAAATTTTTGCGGGTCCATAACCCTTAAAATCTTTTCAAAGGGGGCGTAGCGGCAGCCCGAAGAAAATTTTTACAAGGTTAAATTAAATTTTTTAAAAATTTTGAAAATCATTTCAATTATTTACAAGAGTAAACAAGTCACTTGCACATTTTTATAACCCATGTACAGTCGCTTCATTTCATACGATCATGTGTGTCATTGCACACACAGTTCATCTTTGGCGTCCCCATCCTGGATTCGTGGGAGAAACAAGTCTTCAGGTAAGTGTTTCCAAGGTGTGCTTAGCATTTTCTTTCCTTTTTAATTACTAGTCACCTCAAATTGATGCAATCGATAACAATCGGTAAGTCTCTTGCGTTTTTGCGATTGCAAATCCAGGATGAGGACGCCAAAGGTGAACTGTGTGTGCAATGACACACATGATCATATGAAATGAAGCGACTGTAAGTGAATTTCAAAAATTTCGCGCCATTCTCCGGCGGGGGGGGGGGGGCGCTCCCCCCCCCCCCGTCCCCTCCCTTAGTCCGCCGCTGCTAGCGCCGCTGCTAGCACCCATCGCCTTTGCCTTTTTGGAAACCGGATATGTTATCAATGTCACAAAGGAGCCCATCATGACGTACATTTCCTTACTGAACACCAGTGCCACCTGTTATTTTTACTCTACAAATGTCGGCAATTTTGAAAAATCGTTGCACAAGGATTGTAAAGCCCATGAGGCAATTTGACACCTAATTTGAAAATTATACCTACTCCGCATGGTATTGCTTCTTGCTGAGCTTACGTTTAATGTACGGTAAGATCTGATGGTTTCGATATTTGGAACATTAGTTTGGCTCATTCCCGTAATCACTCTATGCAGAAAATTACCAACCTGAACACGATGAGTTTATGACATTTGTTCACCGCTTTTCTCATATCAGTCGATCGTACGTCCTTCTGGTTTTATTCAACATAAAGTCTGCTCTTAATTAAGATTCTTCCCCCCCCCCCTACAATCTATCTTCTTAAAACTCCTTAATGGAGCGCGCTTGACCCCACGCTTGACTCTGCTCATAAGCTGTAGCAAAGGAGCCGCAACTCATGTGATGACGTTAGTGAAGAGGCAGTTCACGAGTATTCGCGACCATAAAAATTCCTTTTTCATGGAAGTCCTTTATTCAGACACGATTCCTGATCACAAATTAACTTCAGTAAAAGATAAAAATACATAGTTTAAGTGGACCTCAAAAGTCACTCCTTTTAGAAGTGCATAAAAATCACTTTCTCGAATTTGCAGAGCTTCCTCTGCGAGAGATAGGTAATCTCAAGCAAAATTTACAAGGGCTGCGAAAAGAAAATCAACCAAATGTCGTTCGCGCTCTCCAGTGAAGCGTTGATACTGTCATGGCAACACTTACTTCAAACTTCAATGACTCTGAGTATCATGGAAAATTTTATCTTTAACTCCCTTTTCAGATCATTTCTTATCAGCGTTAATATGTTCAAGAACCAAACTTTGCTAAATTAAACCATTTCAAAGCGTCGGCTAACTTTCTTGCGCTCCGTTACATTACTTTTGCAGTGGTGGATTTTTCGACCCGTACACATTCTTTGAGGGACACTTCATGCAATCGCAAAACGAAACTTTATCTCTGGTGGGTTCCTAATCATAAATGAGAGGTGGAAAAACTATTGAGCGTTTAGGGTCAATTTAACAGAAGCATCAATTTACTGCTATGTCGAAAGTTGCCTGCAGCAGGAGTTCAGGAAGGCCTGATCATCGAAAAAGGCAGAATTGTTGCTCCATTAACCATTGCTACAGGTGAGCACTGTTTCTGAGTTTAATCACTCAAACAACAATCTATAGAGAAGAGTTATTTTAGCTACATAGCCTCCTTGGAACTCTAGAGAAATTACGAACTACTTTAGGAACTTATTCTCTGTGGATACCCAAACATACTCTTTATTATTATAACACGCTTTTTATGCTCCCTATTCTCAATGTCGTGCGGCCTCGGTATGAAAGCATTTTTTAATCACTTGCTAAAATCATCCATGTTTAAGAAAAGAAACATTCATATTATCGCTACTGGCTCAAAAACTATTGCACCTTGTGGGTACTAGCCTTGCATTCTATCCAATAGAATCGGAGTCGAGCAGTGGATTTGGTGTTGCAAAAGACTACAGGTAAGCGATTTATTAGGTCGCTCCAAAAGTTCGCGCTGTTTTTCAAACCCGTGCTCAAACCGCATAGATTGAAGATAGACAAACGCTGTAAGCACTATCCGATGCAAAATTTCTTCCTCTTTCCAACGGCTGTGTTTTCGTTGTGACTATTTCGATGATCACTGAGATAATCGCTGCAACTTTTTGCACTTCTCTGGCATGCTTTCTAGAATTACTAAAATTTATTTTCTGAAGTGACCAAATTTTATATTTGGCACATTCCATCCTCGCAAAACATCAGACGTTGAACAGTTCAAGTACCATTCGATGCATCTTTTTCTCCTCTTATCGACAGCTATCTTTTTTCGCGAAACGTGCGACTTTTGCAGACAAAATCGCTGTATTTCCCAATTTTACGGGTGCGCAAGGTTGTAGTCGAAAAATCAAAATCTACGCATTTTCTCGCAATACTAGTGATAGCAATAATCGGGTCACAAAACTTCAACATTTTGGGGATTTCGCAGTGTTCGGTGCAATTATGTGTCTCGCGATTTTTTCAAAACTTAATGCTCTCGTGAAATAATTCAGCAAAATTCTAAAGAGGAGGCCGAAATAATGCAAAAAGTTGCATTAGTTCGCAAAAGGTTTGTCCTATCAGGTGGTCATTGGAGCGCCTTCAAAAACTCAAAACAAAATTCCAAAAATTAGCGAAAGTTAGACAGGGTAAAATTGATGGATTCTAGTTTTCGGCGATTATCTCATTGTGACTGCTCATCGAGATAGTCATAAAGAAAACATAGCCGTTGGAAAGAGGAAGAAATTCTGCATCGGATAGTGCTTACAGGGTGGGTTTGTCTGTCTTCATTCTAAGTGGTTTGAGCATGGGTCTGAAAAACGGCGCGAACTTTCGGACTTTTACGTACGACAGATGCGTTACAGCACACCAGACGCGATTAATCTATTTTCTTTTCTTCGCTCATGGAAATGTTCACAAAAGCAATTGCCTGGCTGTATGCTACTGCTAATAAGGGAGCTTGCGTATGTGTTTTAAGGTCATTTATTAGGTGTTTGGATCAACTTCTTAAGGGCAATTTTAGAGATAAAGGCTATCTGGCTGAAGATTGGGTTTCACTTATTTCTTACTGGATAGAAGAACTCAATAAAATCTCGTAAGCACGGCAAAATGCTTTGAACTGATAATTGTCGCAAAAACCATATTTTAGGTATAGATTTCCTCCAATTCATGAGCAAGATTTTGATTGCCTTTATGCACTGGACGAGACATCTAGAAGACAGAATTGCAGGCGTTCAAGCATCTATTTTCCAAACTTTTCAGCCGCTAATATGGTATTGATATGATACTTGGTGATACTAGTGGAAGGCATAACGACTGTGCATTGATTGCAGAGTAAGGTGAACAAATGGAGGAAAGAATCTCTTGATGATCTGAGCAAATGGTGTGCTAAAGCAGAGTATTGCGGTAGGTTGTTAGCAAGTGTAAAGAGATGATTTTTCTGCTATTCAAACACATCATTCGTAGGGACTGCTTATAATGGGTCCACCAAAGGTGATTTCTCCCGTGTTTACGAAACTACTTTGAAAACCCGTCTAAGCAATGTGAGTCTAATCATGTTCTTGGAAATTCTTCAGAACTGTGATCTCGAGGATGTTTTCTAACTATGTAGAAATAGTCAGAATTGTAAGACAATCTCAACAATCTCAATGTATAGATATAAGAGAAGAAATTCCTAGAGGATTTGGTGCAGCCAAGCGTTTTCAAGTTTGCAAAAAATTTCATGACATGGCTTTTCCTCTTGATACAGGTGTCCCAAAAAATGTGCACACTGTTTGAAAACTTTCTTGTCTTTGGCCTAGTAAACCCCCCTTCAGGGGATCTGCCCTGAGACGGACCTGAGTTGATCGTATGGCGCCTCGATCTAGCATCCCGCGAGCTATTGGTCTAGATGAGGATCGCTTTTCAGGCATAAAAATCTTGCGCGCTATCAAAGAGGAAACACCTACTTCTCTTGTGCAGGTTTGGTCAAACAGGTATGTGACTGGTACTCAGCCCGCACGACCGTGGTTCGGCGCCGGACAGTGGCGAATTTTGCGCATCACTGAGCAATCTTTGATAGCGGCCACCATCGAAGAAAATCGATGACGGCCGCTATCAAGGAATCCACAAACCAAATGAATACACAAAACAAAACTGCGTTTTTTAACCAAAATTTCATCAAAAATTGAGGAAGTAGGGACAAAATCGAATGGGAATAAATAAAGAGATTGTCGCTCTGAGTAGCTTTTGTAGAAGAAACCTATGCAAACTCTGCAAAAGGAAAAAACCTATTCTTCTGTTTTTGCCAAAATCAGCTGTTCATTGATCCCTTCCTTTTTGGGCACCGGTATTGTGCAGTTTTGCGCGTTCTTGTACTGCAACAATACGTCAAGTACGATGTCCCGTAAGTTACTCACGAGCAACTTACTGGATTTTCCTCTGCGTCTCATCCCTTGCACACTATTTCGGTCAATTATCTCAAAATCGAGGCTGCTCTAACGGATTTCAGGTGAATTCATCGCGGCACATGCACTGACACTAACCCTTCAGATCAGGTCGCATTCTTAAGCATGTGAGAGTGACCGCTAGTCAGTTTATCTCAATAAGCTCAACTCAACCCCTCAGTTGAGATCATCTGAAGTAAAGTGGGGTTTACGACGGGCCTTTATCTATTTCGCCAATCTTTAGGTGCTCTTTGTAGAACTTGCTCTGACTCAGAATCACAGTAAAGGACGAGTTACCCACCACTCTTCACTACTGTAGGGTAAGAACTTTGTTGAGGATTTTACACCATTGGGAACTATGTTTTGCTTTAGAAAGAAAACCAAACTAGTCGAAAAATCTTATACCAAGGTAATCAAAGTCGCTGATTTCAGTATGCAGATTTGCACTTTACTTTGACAGTTCTTTCCCAAGTGACTGTTGAACTGCAACAAATGCTTTTCAAACGTTGCCGAAAATGTGATTACACCGTCAAAGAAGACCAAAAAAGTTCTAAAAGGTGTATAGCGACATTGGCATGTGCGAAAACCCTGTTGCACAATTTTTAGATTTGGAAAAAAATTTTGTCAGAGGCCTATCTCATGATGGTCCCATATGCTGAAAGTTCCTACTGTTATCATAAGGAAAAGGCATCGGTGATTGGTTTCATACTGTAAATCTAAGGTGAAGTCAGCTCCACAGAATTACACCTAAAGATTGGCTAAAGACATTATTGCCAAAGGGTTATCAATGATCAAACATCCTGTGTGGAACACCATGTGTTTCTTGGAGGCTGGGAAATTATGAAGCAATCAATATGAGAAAAAGGTGGCTTTCAATGTCCTTTTGTAGATAATCTAATCTTCACAAAGCGTGGCCCACAGTCGCCACCTACCCATTCGAAAGAATTTTACACGTCTAAAATTCTGCGGACTTGATTTTCGACTTGAAGCTAGCGGTGGTTGGTTATCCCCTCCTAAGAGCTCGAATATAACTACAATACCGCTCATAATTCGTCAAAAAAGTCGCCGAACTGCGGCGCACTCCGCCACACTCTGCCACAGTGCGCCGGAGTGTGGCAGAGTGCGCCGGAGTGCGGCAGAGTGCGCCACACTCCGCCGCAGGCGCCGGAATAATCGTCAATTTAGCCATATCTCGCTTCAGAATGGACGAATTCTGAATCCGAGGACACCGTTCGATTCAGCTCGACGAGACGCATCATCTTATATATGAAGCTGAACTTCTGTTTGTCTGTTTGTCTGTACGTATGTTCCGAATAGAAAAATCCATTTCTGAACCGATCCTGACCAAACTTGGCACACATACACTTCGGGCACCGGCGGATGTCATAGGCTACTTTTCTTCATCGATCGATATCGATTTTATCGATTTTTAGCGATTTTTTGCAGAGTTCACCTATGGGGCTGGGGTTTGCATAGGGGTGTAATCGAGCATGGGGATTCCGAATACAATATTAGTTTTCGATTATCGATTACTTTTATCGATTTTATCGATTTTTTTGCAAAGTTTGAGCTACGGGGTGGGAGTTTGCACAATCACAATGGTAATCGAGCATGGGGATTCCGAATACAATATTAGTTTTCAGATTATCGATTATTATTATGGTTGAATTCAGTGTGCTGATAACAGTATTACCATTGATCTGTCGCTGATGACACATAGACAGTATACTATAGGAGTATGGTAGAGAGCCGCTCTGATCGAATTTGTTCTAAGATCTGCTCAAGATCACAATACCGCGCACAGAATGTCAAAATTTCCGTGAACTTCGCGGAATTCCGGGATTTCCGCCAAAGTGCGTGATAATCCGGGAAGTTCGCGACATATCAGGATCCGCGAAACCATGCGAATCACGCAGAGAACGCAACGCCATAACATCCTTCGGAATGAATATATTCCGAATCCAGAAGCAGCATTGTGTTCAGATCGTCGAGGCAAATATTTTGATATACAGTACGATATTCCATTTCCAGTTTTTTCGAATTTTTTTCTGTGAAGGTCTTTTCGCAAGGATGTAACGCAGCGTCTGTGTAACATAAAAGATTCCAGTAAGCACTGTTCGATAGTACTGTTTTTGTAGATTATCGTGCGTTCAAGAGTAGCTGCAGACTGTCTCCCAAAAGAGACAGAAGCATTGGTGAATTTTGGAAAAATCACGCGTTTCTAAATTCTACTCGCCGTAACTTCCTTCGGAATGAACATATTCTGAATCCGAAGAGAGCTTTGTGCGCAGTTCATCAAGGCAAATCTTTCGATATACACCATATCCCTGATATTCCGATTTCAATATTCTCAAATCTTTCTGTAGACGTCTTTTTGTGAAGGTGTAAAGCAGCGCGCATTGCTCCTAGTAGACTCCAGCAAGGACCTTTCGAAAGTACCTTTTCTGTAGATTACGTAGCTCTAGTAAGTAGTCACAGGCATCTTTCCATAGGAGTTAGAAGGGCTGGTGAATTCTGGAAAAATCATGTCGTTCTAAATTTTTCTCAACGTAACTCTAAAATATGAAGCTCTCTTGCTAAGCAGATGTGATTTTCGTAATCAGCAGGTCGGATAACCCTTATAAGCAAGTTTTCCAAGATGTTCGAGTAATTTCATTTTTTCTCGTTTTACGCTCTGAAGCTGCCTGATGGATTTTGGTCAAAATGTTCATGCTCTTAAATTGTAAGGAAACTTCGCTTATAGAGGTTTTCGAATACGCTCTTTACGAAAATCGTGGTCTTTGAGGATTACAGGGTCTTCTTGGAGAGATACGGTGAGGTGACTGTAACTGCATCACGAAAGCTCGTAACTTCGCCTCCACCTCTCACGTGTCTGTCAAAGAACCTGCCTGCTTGCTTTACTATTCAAAGATAGTAGGAGATGTGCTATCGAATGGCGCAAGACCCAGTCTATAAAATTCGCCGAGTTACGAGCCTACGAAAACACGTTCTCATGAATTTTGCTCAAAATGTAAAGATCGCAGATTTCGTCGAAATTCCACCGTGAGTGCTTGTACAATACGCTGTTCAAATCTTTTCACATTCTTAATGGATCTTATTGTGAGATTTGGTGATTTGAGCTTTAGCCACAAAACAGCTTTGATATCAATTGCTGAAGCACACGCAAGCACCATATTCAATACGGTGGAGTTATTGAGCGAAGCGAACATAATATCCGCAATGCGAGCGTCATACAAGCTTCTGTCTCTTTTGGGAGACAGTCTGCAGCTACTCTTGAACGCACGATAATCTACAAAAACAGTACTATCGAACAGTGCTTACTGGAATCTTTTATGTTACACAGACGCTGCGTTACATCCTTGCGAAAAGACCTTCACAGAAAAAAATTCGAAAAAACTGGAAATGGAATATCGAGAGCATACTGTATATCAAAATATTTGCCTCGACGATCTGAACACAATGCTGCTTCTGGATTCGGAATATATTCATTCCGAAGGATGTTATAACGTTGCGTTCTCTGCGTGATTCGCATGGTTTCGCGGATCCTGATATGTCGCGAACTTCCCGGATTATCACGCACTTTGGCGGAAATCCCGGAATTCCGCGAAGTTCACGGAAATTTTGACATTCTGTGCGCGGTATTGTGATCTTGAGCAGATCTTAGAACAAATTCGATCAGGGGCGCTATGTATCAATCGGAAGATTGTGTGCTGGTTCAAGATCTGGCAATTACACGATCTTGAAGCAGCACACGATCTGCCGAGGCGCACGCGATGTATGAATTTGCGCGCAACATCGTGTAACTACACGATGTGCGGTGTACGCGTGCGCCAGGAACCCGGACTGGCGCATATCGTGAGTGCCGGCTGGCGTGAAGCGAGGTGACGCCGCCACTCATTTCACGCATGTATATAGCGCCTATCTTCACGTCGACTTCTCAAATGCCCCACATAATTTTGGATTTGCGATCGTTGCACAGGTCGAAACTTCTTATCTACAATATCTTCTTCTATCCCTATATGAGCCGTACCACCTAATTTCCGGGGGTTTAGCGTAACTAGCGAGCACGTGTTCAAATGAGACAACTGAATGTATCTGTTTTATCCTACAGCTGCTTCAGACAGCAGTGTTTCGGAAAAATATGACTTTTGGGTATCAATGTGTACAGCCTAGGTCAACTCTGCTATCACATATATGTATTATAGTCACCAATCGCTTTTTGTGGCTGTGGAAACTCTGGGAAATTTGTAACTTGAGGAGATTTTACATTAAAAAAGTTTCTAAGAAAAGTAAGTGTTGTACCAGTTCAATGGAAATTTCTAGTGCAAGTACAATTCAAATGGATCGTCTCATTCCACGTAAACTGATAGTGCACAAAATTTTTGAACATCTCAAGGGGCAGCAGGTTCATTGCTATTTACAGTTGTAGTTCAACTGATCAATTAAATTGTAGTCATAATCAATATTGGGGGGAGAATACACAGCTCGAAACGATTCAGACAGAAACACTTTCACTAACAAAAAGACGAGATGATATAAAGATGCATTATTAAAGCAAAAGGGCTAAGAACTTGCACAATTTGTATCAGAACATGCAGAAACAATGCCTACTTCAATAGTTGATGCCGACATTGGACAGCGCTTTGGGAAGAACTTCAATAGAATATTGCACCAAATCAAGATGACCATGCGAAAACAATTTGGCGATGTAAGTGCAAACTACATGAGCATTTTGGATATACAAGGCAATGAAAAATGAGAATCGAAGGCGTATACAAAGTGGGCTTAGTCACCAGTATAACTGTTTTGATTTAAAAAACCTGTATGAAAAAGTAAGCGCTGACAATGGACCCATTGCGACTTTGACTCCACATCGGCTGATAATGCCTTTGAAGGGCTCGAAGGCGTAGTGAACATTGCGAGCCTTAAAGTATTTAGCTAACATAATATTGAGATTCAGCATCTTCCCTACCTTCGGTTCCCTACTCGCTGCAAAAAGTCTGTAGAAAGTCCCCCAAAAGGTCTCGGGAATGACGTCCAGGATACTCCTTCCAATACTGACGCAATCGAGTTCGCACCTGACGTAAATACAGTAATACACACTATTACCACTCGCTTTAGGAGAAATAATGGAGATTTTACCGTAGCAACGGGATAGTTGAATACGTCCCCTTCTTTTTCAAAACGTGCTCGATTTGCAGATGAAGATGATGCGAACGAGAAGGATTTAGAACAAACATCATGTTTGATTTCGTCCTGTTGCACGTTATTGCCCGAGACATAAAGAAAATTACAAAATATCTCACCCTTTCGATTTGTTCGGCTTCTTTGCTAATCAAGCACGGCATCATTCACATTTGCTTTCAATGTTTCGAACCCACGGACCATTTCAGGAAGACGATGACACCATTCCTGTCCTGCGGCTTGGACAGCTCAGCCTCGGCTGAATATGTTGAATCGACTCGGGTTCAAACTCCACGCTATTTGCAATCTCTGCTGGGTGGAGGACTATATGTCGCCAAATTTGGAAGAGTCCCGCGCGGATTCCCTGCAGGAAAGCATGCCTGCGCATGTGCAAGGATGCGTATCTGTCGCAAATGACCGCGGGGACCGCCCTTTTTCGGCGACATATAGTCCTCTACCCACCTCTGCTTACTTTTAGCGAGACAATCTCAAGGGTAGCTTAGCGCAAAACCTCACGACTGAGAACCGCTGTTCAAGCAATGATACTTTCTCTTGACCTAAAGCCAATCCAAGTTATTTGCTTGCAATCGTAAAGCGACCGACAGCGTTTCGAAACGTCAAATACAGTACTCTTTAAAAAATCTAGCATACATGTATCGTCGAGTCGTTGACTGCACGGATTGGACATTACTGCGGAGGCACGCGCCGCGAGGTACAACCCTTGCCCCAGTACAGATTCGTCTCGTACAAGTTGTACTCTCCCAACCAGGGTCAAGCGTGTGATGCGACTGTCGCAACGGAGGGTCGTGCTGGGGGCACCTACTGTGTGGGGTGGGGGGGGGGGAGGGGTAGGGGTGCCTTCATACCGCGCCGGCAGCCGCCGCTAGCAGTCCGCAGCAACCCGTAGCAGCCCGCAGCAGCCGTCAGCAGCTCGTAGCCGCCGCTGGTCGCTTTTGTCATAAAAGCCCACGCTTCCCATCTTCCACGCTTCTTTCTTCCTATCGCTAACTGCAGTTCCAACTCACTCTACATTTCAGAATTATTCAAGATAACCACCGGCCAAGGATTTGATTGAAGCAGAACCATCATAACTTATAATAACGGGCTAAGGATGTTTACGTGACTTTGTGTGTGTGTGAGTGTGTCTGTTACGAAATTCGTAGAGCGTGTTCCAGCCAACCTCCTGGGCTCAAATTTTGCACAGCGCATGCTCCTCGCATGAAAGTCCAACATGCAAAAGCACGAGCAGATTCGTTGAGTGGATCACTCAGAAACTGCGCGTCAAACGGATCCATTTTGCATTTGGGCCGCATTAATGGGTCCGTAATTCCACGTTTTGCAAAGTAGTGGATGTTTATACCAAATAAAAGCGCAAACCCCATTACTTTAGAAAAACGGCGCCAAAAAGTATTGGTTGCATAAATGGTCAATTTGCCAAGGTTTTACCAGAGCATTTGACGAGATTTTTGCACAAAGATCTAGCTCACGGTGACTGCTGTCCTTACTGCAACTGTCAAGACCATGGGAAAATCAAAAACCTGTAAAAATTTGCGTTTGTTCTCCTGCAAAAATTCTCATCCATGCGAAATCACCGATTTCACATAAAAAGCTTTTGGAATGAGTAGTTGTTTACATTTTGTTCGTGATAATCGGCATTGCTCGGTGAGTTCCAATGCCATCATTATGCGAGAATGAGTAGGGCCTAGATAGTAGAGCCAGTGCGAGCCTCTGCGAAGCAGAGGTGATGCACTGGTATCAAAAAATAAACCAATAGCATACCTGCAAAAAGGACGCATCCAAAGTCAGAAGGAATTACACCGCGAATGAACTTTGGCGAAATATGGTTCAACTGCGAGAGGGGAACTAGCACCAGTAAGATAACCAATCTACGGCAACAAGATTTCAGCAACATTGGACACAAGTGTGATATATGAGATCGAATTGCGACATCAGAAAGGAAAACGCGTGCAAGATGGAGAGCGTGGGCGTTCGCACTAAAAATAGTAAGAAATCGATGATTTTGCGCTTCTATGACAAAAGCGGTCAGCGGCGGCTACGGGATACTGACGACTGCCGTGGGCTGCTACGGGCTGCTAGCGGCGGCTGCCGGCGCGGTATGAAGGCACCCCAAAAGGGGGTCCGGTTTCCATCAACACGCTTGACATGGTCGCAACATTTCAGCCGCGCGCGTGGTCCGCTACGTCCTGAGCAGTCCGTACAGTCGACGCGACGATAAATGATTATGGGCCATGAGGCGGTTAGAAGACTATATGTCGCCGAAAAGGGGCGACTCCCCGGTCGTTTGCAACAAATACGCATTCTTGCCCATAATCATAAACATGCACGAAGCTGCATTTTTGTAAAAAGTCCGCAACCGTTTCACATTCGGCGACATAGACTCCTCTACCCCCATGAAGCCGTTTTTTACTACAAATAAAAAAAACGACAAGAAACAATACCCAGACTGAAAGAAAGAAGCCGATCTTTCAAGTGATGACCTACATGAGAAGTAGTTTTAAAAACTACGAAAAAAACCTCCAACTCTACTGTCCCTTTTCAGATGAAAACTGAACATGCACACGAAGGTGCACACATGAACAAAAAGATAGCACATCACGAACCTGTTGAGTAGTTGGATAAACAGGGTCAAGATAATGGCTTCGGCACTCTGACATTCGCATGCATGTAGGGCATATATGGCGAGAGAAGGGGTCCTGCACAGCCCATGCTAAATGAGCAGAAATTTCACAAAAAAAAGAAAGAAAAAGAGACTAAACAAATATGCGAAGATTTGCCACAATAAATATAAACGTTGTGTAGCTCATCACAATATGCATTAGTCACAAACGATTGACTGAAGCTGAAAATATATGCTGATTCCTAAAAGCACAGAAACCATGGAGAAAGAATCGCAGAATCAGTAAAGTAGTGTGCCGATGATCCTATGCGAAAACGGGCGTGCGAAAACAATGGCCGTAAGAACACAAGGGTTTTTTTCACGTCACATGGACAGCGCACGATCTGTCGAGATCGTGCGCTGCTACACGATCTTGTGGCAAGATCGTGTGCTTCATACATCGCGAGATCGTGTGCTCGCACCTGATCTTGGGCATGTTTTCAACGGTAGCGAGCACACGATCTCACGATCGTGTGATTGATACATAGCGCCCCAGAGCGGCTCTCTACCATACTCCTATAGTATACTGTCTATGTGTCATCAGCGACAGATCAATGGTAATACTGTTATCAGCACACTGAATTCAACCATAATAATAATCGATAATCTGAAAATTAATATTGTATTCGGAATCCCCATGCTCGATTACCATTGTGATTGTGCAAACTCCCACCCCGTAGCTCAAACTTTGCAAAAAAATCGATAAAATCGATAAAAGTAATCGATAATCGAAAACTAATATTGTATTCGGAATTCCCATGCTCGATTACACCCCTATGCAAACTCCCAGCCCCATAGGTGAACTCTGCAAAAAATCGCTAAAAATCGATAAAATCGATATCGATCGATGAAGAAAAGTAGCCTATGACATCCGCCGGTGCCCGAAGTGTATGTGTGCCAAGTTTGGTCCGGATCGGTTCAGAAATGGATTTTTCTATTCGGAACATACGTACAGACAAATAGACAAACAGAAGTTCAGCTTCATATATAAGATGATGCGTCTCGTCGAGCTGAATCGAACGGTGTCCTCGGATTCAGAATTCGTCCATTCTGAAGCGAGATATGGCTAAATTGACGATTATTCCGGCGCACTGCGGCGGAGTGTGGCGCACTCTGCCGCACTCCGGCGCACTCTGCCACACTCCGCCGCATTCTGCCACACTCCGGCACACTCTGCCACACTCCGCCGCACTGTGGCGGAGTGTGGCGGAGTGCGCCGCAGTTCGGCGGCTTTTTTGACGAATTATGAGCGGTATTGTATGCTTCTCTAGAGGGATCTCTCAATCGCTCCCTCTTCTAGTTCATCAAAGCAGCAGGACCTCATTCGCGATTTCCTGGATCTCGAAAGTTAAACTTCAGTAACTTCTTGGGAAACTGAAGAGTCTTACGATGCAAAGAGTGGCTCTGAAGATCTGCGATCCACCATTTTTTGTTTAGTTGAACTATTTGAACTACTTAACAACTATTTGGTCAAGGTTGAAGTCTTACCAGTTTTGCTTTAGGTGCTAATAATCATTAACAACCACCAGCGCAAGAAGGGCATTGGTCTTTTGCAGCGATTGTACCAACCGTATTTTGGCATGACCATCTTTTGTGGAAGCTTCAGTTCACTGGAATATAAAGACGAAGGTTTCTGAAACATCTTCATTAAGATCTTTGCCAATATGTACCCGAATATTAAGGCAGAATAAGCCTTAAATGAACTTCCAAGCTTAAAAACGTACAACAAAGAAGAATCTTTAGAACACTTATTCTAGGGGAGTTCCCAGACGTTATTTTCCCATTCAACTATATTCACATATCCCGCATAGAGCTGGTGAATGGATTCTTTTTTCATTACTGCCTCTCAAAAGTCAAAGACCTAAAACTACGGAATGTAAAAGGTGAAGTATTTTTTCCATTAATACGTAAAATTAATAATATTTTTGAGGCTACTTCCTGGCTGGAGATGATGCCATCTTCAACTTCTGGCATGAGCTTGATTTGAGCGAGATTCTGTTCCCGGTTACAGGAGGTGGAAATTATCGCAGAAATGTGTGGTGGCGTTCAAGCTATGGTTCTTTTTTTTCTAGTTGTTACGTACGCTCTTGCAACAACTTATTTAGGAAGACAGGCGGCAGAGCATGCATTCCGCATTTTTGAAAAATTGTCGGAAACAAACAGGGAAATTAAGAAAATTCGAGTGTGTTATCAGAAAGGGGTAAGCGTGTAGAACATACCTGTATGTTGATGATTTTCAAAAAATCATACGACGGCTGTTTACAGCTGTTATACCTATAGACTGCTTATATAGGCTGTAACAAAGTCTCGCATTCATCTAAACTTCCGATCTTGCGGGGACACCCAAAGGAATAACAACATTTGCTCACCAGCATGACTGGTATATTATGCAGTCTGCGTTAATCTTCAAACTCAATTTCCTTGCCTGCTTTTGATTCTCTTCTCTATAAAAATTTTGCGAAAAATCTGAGAAAGTGTTGCAAGCAATTCGGTAATACGGGTGCTTTGGGACGGCAATCACCACAGACCCTAATGTATTATGTATGAATGCAACGAAAAGGTGCAGTAATGTATTTATGCCGCATGGAGTGATAAACATAAAACTGTCAAGCTCAAAAGGGCAAGGCGACTCATACTGAATTCAATTTTTTTCGAAATGACCGTTCCGAATGAGCTTCAAATCATTTTGCGGAGAATCAAAGTTCCAAATCGTTCTGCAGAATTTTCTGTGCTCCTAACGGTGACGAGTTATGAGTGTCATTTGAAACAAAAATGCACGTATGATTTGTGTAAAATCGTAAGACAGATTCTCCAACGCTCAAGTAGAGCATGGTGAATGCGAGGTACTGAACGAGTATAATACAGTGCTGGACAAAATTATAGATCCACTCTAAAAAATGCCATAACTCACTCTGTTGTCAATAAAATGTTCCAAAATTTGGTACAGCCGTATGTTTACCAGCTTACCATCAGTCATCAAACATGTGTCTCGTTTTCGTTTGGTTATTCGAGAAAAATCAAAAATTTTGAAAAAAGCAGGCTTGAAGGCTGAACAAAATTATAGGTCCACCAGTTTTACCGATTAAAGCACTTCTTAGCTTCGGAATTTTTTTAGATAGGTACACATTCAAAGTGTTAAACAGTTGCCTTGGTCAAGCTGTGTCATATCTTCAAAAAGAACTGATTATCAACAAGTGAGTATCTGCTTTATTGCCTTGAAAATGCTTTCACATGTACATTCTTACTCAACGCAGGTTTTGCTCCAGAAACCTGCGTTGACCAAGAAATTTTGCAGTTTCTCAATTAATCGGAGGCGACTTTTTTTCATTTACCTTCTGGATGCTCTTTGACGTGAGCATTGAGGAAAAAATCCGACTTTTTGCTGTTGAAGCAAATCCGACATTGACAAAACTGCAATTCTGAGCTCAAATTTGCCTTCAAAATTCTTTTACAATGTCCCCAAAAGCATTAAGTAAACAGGCATTGTTTCTACGAAAAGGAGTCGAAGAGTTTCATGGCTACAACTTTCTAGGGATCCTAGCATTCGAGTATAATTACTGGAATCATCCTGCAGGACCTGATTACGACAAGCACCAAAGCTAATTGTGGCTCTGACCAAAATCTTCAGAAGAATCATGTGCTAACATACAATATAAGCCGTATCCACTATCAAGTAAAAGAATTGCCGTTAAAAATCTAAGTGAAGTAGCACATGGCAAGCTATTTTGGAAGTGAGTAGCACCATCATTACGTTGCACAACTCATGTTTTGAAAAAGAAGTAAGGCAGCTTTGTGAAAATTGCGAGTATGGCGAACAGTTTCATTTTTGTGTAAAGAATGCTTCTACAATATCTTGAGGTTATAATGATAGTGCATAAAGGGTTTCAGGGCAGAAACTGAGGCTTGCGCTCCCGATTGAGTCGATGTCTGGGTTAATTCAGCAGCAAAAAGTCGGATTTTTTCCTCAATGCTAGCGCCAAAACATCCAGAAGGTAGATGAAACCCCGTCGCTTCCAATTCTGCATAGAAGCTGCAGAGTTTCCTACTCAAATCAGATTCCTCGAGAGAAATACATATGAAAGCACTTTTAAGGCATAAAAAGCAAATAATCGTTTCTTTTGAAGTTATGACACAGCTTGACTAAAGCAGCTGTTTAACGCTTTTGGATGTGTACCTACCTAAAAAAATTCGGCTAGGAAGTGCTTCAATGAAACCTCCATGTGGACTTACAATTTTGACCAGGCTTCAAGCTGCTTTTTTCAAAATATTTCTTTTTTTCTTGAATAATATTTCTTTTCTTTCTTGAACACGAAAACGAGACCCGTTCTGAAGACTGATAGTAGGCTGGTGAACACACGGCTGTACCAAATTTTGGAGCATTTTATTGACAACAGAGTGAGTTATGGCATTTTTCAGAATGAACCTATAATTTTGTCCAGCACTGTATCAGCATAATTAGCTCACTTAACACTGGCCCCTTCCAGTGTTCTTGAAGGAGCCAATTTAGCGGCGCCAAATAGCATTCGAAAGCTTTATAACTCCGCGCAGGAGAGCACTGCAAGACCAGAATAAGATTTCAAAATAGCGTTTAATGCTCTTCGGAGCGATACGAAATTTGTTTGAAAAAGGTACTTCACCTGGAAACATTTTTTTTTGTAACACTTTCATCTCCCCTGCAATCGCCCATTACACACCTACAACTGATCCAGTCCGCGCGTTCACTAGGCGCCAGATGACTAAGCCGAAAAATCCGATACCCGCTTGCGATGCCTATAGGAATGGCTCGACCTGTTGCACGGTGCTGAATAAGGACTTCGCTAAACCACTAAATCCTTCACCTTATCTGCAGCTTCTCAGATGCAATCAAATCCTCTCAGCACAAAAATTTGACAGAGCATTTATCCGTGTCGAATTTACATGACAATAGGAACAGAATTGCCTGACGAGTAAAACACGCCTTCTCCGAACAATACGATTATTTGCCGTCGCCGTCCATGAGAAGTTTTGTATGAGTCTTGTCTCTTCGTCCTCATCGGCTGCTTTTTGCAATATAGGGTTGTGAAGAAATCCCACAGATTTTCAATAACTCTCTCAAATATCTTTCTTTTCAGGGTACCAACCAGTAGTGCCGGCTTTAACTTAGATTTACAGTACAAAGCGAACCACCGATACCTCTTCTTTGGTGTATGTCTACGGGAAAAATTCTGGAAACTTAAGCCATTAGTCTCTGCATGAAAGCCAAACAAGCTAAATCCATTATACAATGCTAGCCCTATTTGCTGATCAAATATGAGTTCCCATGTTACCGTAATACTTCTTTTACAAGTCATGTTTACACCGTTTTCGATAATCCTCAAAATGTGGTTACACCGTTCAAAAACATTTTAAAACACGTCAATAGCTGTGTAATGAGATTAATGCACAAATTTTGCCACAGCTCAGAATTTTTGTAGTTTCTTCTTCAAACTTCTTATTTCACAATGACGCTGGAACTTCCTCCGTGATCCTACAGTAATGAAGAAAGAGGGGTGATTTGCTTCGCACCGTAATTTATAAGGAAAGCTACCTAACTTAGCTCGGCCTTTTGGCAAGATACATATATATTCTGAATCAGCTTCAAATGCTGATTCCAATTATGCTATTCCTAGCTGCCATGCGCCATTCCGTAGCGAGTTATGGGCTTTTTTCTGTGCAAAATTGACATACTACTGAACATAACAAGACTGCCTGTAGATAAAAATCTGCAAGAAAAAGGTGCTGAGATACCTAAATAACACCAATCCAATCTTTTACACTAAAAAGAAGCTTAACGCCAAGTGTATTAGCACTTAGGTGATGATTCCGTGATGTCAGTGAGTGATGAGTATGCCAATTTCGCGCAGGAAAAAGTCCATGACTCGCTTCGGGATGGCGCTCGGCAGCTAGAAATAGCATATTTGGAATCAGCGTTGAAGCTGATTCAGAGTACTTATGTCCCTTGCCAAAAGGGCGAGCTAAGCTAGGTAGCTTTCCTTGTTAGATCCAAAAGCAGTGTTTTAAAATGATGTATTAAGAATCTAGAAGAACATTGAAACAAGAGAATTATTATCACTCAAACCGATGGAACTTTTTGGAACTCCCCGTATATCAACTGATATGTGAACATTGCTTGGAATAAATCGGAGCTACCTCCATCGTGTGGAGTGACAAAATGATAAGAGCGTATTTTCGTAACCAAATTCTGTATATCTGCTTGGCTTCAGCATCTATTTGCTCTTTCTTTGAAGGAGCCAGTTTTTTTGAAAATGATATGTGAACAAAAAATTATCTTGCAATTCTGGAACTTATGTAGTACATTTGTCTTGCCGCACATTTGTGTAGTATTATGTCTTTATAAGTGTTCGGCTTTCTATAAACAGGGTAGTGGTTAAATTAAAGTTACTCTCAATTTAAAAGAACTTTGAAACATGAGCATATGCTAAGAAAATGGATGAGTCAATGTGGTCGTTGCGAATAAATGATCGTGCTGCAACAGCCGAATGGGTCCCTTTGCTTATATTAGGTCATTCCGAAAGTAATTTCGCTTGTTTCAAGCGGGCGCCGTATTTGATGGAACAAACATTTCTAAAAGATCTTGGTAGCATTCGATGTTTCATCCTCGTTCTAACAGTAATGAATCTTGCAGCACAGTCATTGAGCTTTCGGAAAATAGCCAAATCCCACCCATACTTTTTAAAATGGTCAAGTTTCACAATTTTTCTGAACTTTCATATCAACCCTCAGAAGGAGTTCAAACGCTTGGATAGAGCAAACCTGATAGGATACAGTACAACTTTTTTCTCCTTTTCATAGCTCGCCGTAATTTTTTAGAAGATTTTTTACCAAAACCATCGGATTTTGCCAGGCCTAGGTCAGCCACAATTGCATCAAACATAGTAATTACCCGGATTTTGAAACTTCCAAGATGGTGTATGACCTAATATTGATTTTACAAAGCAGTGAGAGTTTACGGACTCAAAATACTGAATTTCGAGTTTTTCGGGTACAGCCTTGGGCGCGTTCAAAAACATGAGTTGTGATGATTTTACCCCGAAGAGTGAACGAATCGGAAATAGAAAACGCCTATTAGAAAGGGGAGAAAAAATTACATCAAACAGCACCCGAACTGCTCTCCCTCTGTTGTTCTATAGGCCGTCCGCGCTGCGCACGGAGAGCAACGCTGTTGCATACATTGAAGGCACAGTCCACTGGAAGTAGCGCAGAGAAAACAGACGGCGAGAGTGCACGAGGAAAGAGGAGTGACGCGCAATACATACCTTGCGCACTCTCCGCGCCCTGTGCGGACTTCCCATACGACATTTGAGTTGACCGAGTATGGAAATTGGCATCAGTTGAAATCTTATTAAAAAATGTTGAGGGGATATATGAAGGAGAAAAAAATTGTTTTGTATATTGTAGGGTTTGCTCCATCCATGCGTTACTTGCACTTCTTCAGAGGATTGACATAAAAATTTTAAAAAATTGTGAAACTTGACCATTACAAGAAGCATGGGTCGCAGATTTTAGTAATTTTCCCACGGTCCATTGAATATGCTGCAACGGCTTCGTAACTATTAGAACGAGGACGAAATGCTGCATCGAACGCTACTAACTATAAGACCTTCTAGAAATGTTTGTTCCATCAAATATGGCGCCCGCTTGAAAAAAGCGAAATTACTTTCAGAACGACCTAATATATGCGCTCGAAATTGCATGAGAAATAATGATTCACCTTCTTTGCACATTTCAGCTTGAGCAAAGAAAAAACAAAAAACAAAACTGTGAATTGACTGATGGCATCTTGGAGCGCCCGACTTCCATCCTTCGATGAGAAAGATTGATCGATGAAAAAACTACAATTAGTGGACGGCTACGATATAAGTCAAAACCCAAAAAAGCTTGATGTTCCACAAAATGGTAATTAATAAACAACGGGAGGATGTAAAGAGTGTGGTAAAGAACTTCGATGATCAAAGATAAGAAGACCTGTAAAATATCATTTTGGCTTAGGAGCAATATGTGCTTACGAATGGAGCAGTAGAAAGAGCAAGAATTACCGATAAACGAGACAGAAGACATATATTACTAATACGCTATTGAAGTCGACAAATAAAAAACTTGTTATCACTGTGTTATTCCTTGTATGGCACTGAATACAGTGCAACACGAATAATTTTTGCTACGCGGTAGCTGCTACAATGAACATGCGCATAGGAAGTTTCTGCAGTTGCATAAAAAGCAGGTTAAACACGTTCAATCAGATTTTCAATTGGACCCCAATCACCAGTGTCCTTCTGTAGGGATGGGGAAAACTGGAACCTTAACGAGAAGGGGACAAAAGTTTATCAGTTCGACTCCGTGGCATCTTTAGTAAGTGCGAAGTAGTTGAGACACTTCTTTTTCTAGTGCAAAGGCTTGCAAGGTGAAAAAAGGAAAGCAAATGTGACTAATTTCATCAAACCTTTGTTCTTGTCCCAAAACCACATAAACCAAGGAACAAACCAGCCTTTTCCTGAACTTACCAGTTCAAAAAAAAGCTTTCAAAAAACTTGCAGAAAATGTTGGTAGTGCTTGGATTTTGGTAGGATAATACATCAAAAAGCAAGAAACGTTGTTATATCCATTAAAAAGGCAAAAATGAGGGAGTGCAAGCAAAATCTCGTCTTTAACATTCGTCTCCTTCCTCATACTGTCTCAATTCTTTCCTTTGCCTTCGAGCTACCCAAAAAATTTTATCAGCCGCTTTTTAAACGAATTTTTGCGGGTTCACTGCTGCGCCGACGCCTGCTCGATAGAAATTGCATGAACCTCGGGCACTGGACTAATGTTAAGGCCGCAGGGCAACAAACCAAAAACTGAAGGCCCGCGACGTGGGAGGCAAACATTTAAAGGGCCATAAAACTCGTCCAGCGCCGCGAAGCTTCGGTGCAATTGTCTGACAGTAGGTAGCAAGAATTCCACAATCACCAGTTATCCTTTCCCTGTTAGAAATATGTATGCTAAAGTTCTAGTTGAGGATTTCATCATTTTTTTGCAATCAACAACTTGTACAAATGTTCTGCTCAGGGCCCGGTGCAAGAGTGGTAGGCATGCGCGTACGAAACTTTTTGCTCAACAGGCGCTATCTCACGTTCTTCCTCCCAAACTGCACTGCAATGTTTAGTCGAAAAGCGCCTTCCTATTTCAAAATCCGATGGCACTGCTCTGCTTGCTAGCAGAAAAAAAGGATGAAGAAAAAAGGAAAAAGAAAAAAGTTGACCTGCAAGTGTTTGGGAATTTGCTATATATTAGAATGCTCGCCCCGCAACGCTGATCTCGAAACTGTGTTCGTTATCTATTGCTATTTTTTTATAAAAAAAATAGCGCTCGTGAAAGCAAACGCAAAAGTACTCGCACCGACAAAGATCAAACCGGCATCTCATGTGCAATAACAGACAGCACTATCCGTTACCACACTTCAAAAATCGACATTACTTGTACTCTAGTGCGAGCACGTTAGATGTGAGGTGATACGGTTATTTGAAATCGCTTCGCATATCGAACACAGTTTGAGATTAGCGTTTCAAGGAAAAAGCCACGACATACGTCATATATCGAAAAGAAACGGCCACGAGGTATCCTTTTTCCGCAAGATCAAATCCGCAAGGCTTGCTGGTAGCAACTAATGATTACTTTTTCAGCTGATTGAAAGTGGTTTTATTGAAGATGCACTTGTACACATCGCCTGTGACACTAGCAAAACACTGAGCGATTTGTAAGTTTGAGTTAGAATTGACGCTACACACGCTGCTGCTCTTGTAAATTTAGCTTTTACGTTCCGCAAAAGAGACTGAGCTACGTGGCTGACGTCATTGAAGTGTTCTTCGAAGCCGGCATGTTTGTAGAGCTCGCAATGATAAAGATACTGCAAACTGTCCCGCATATCAGGTAATTTTGGACTTTCCTATCAAAGGTACCTTTCTTAGATAGTTACGGATATGTACAACACGCTGATCAAATCTTTTTACATCCTCAATAGATCTTATAGTGTTAGAATCGGTAGTTTAAGTTGTAGCTACGAAATAGCTTTGATATCAAAGTGAGCAGCTGAAGCACACGCAAGCACCATATTCAATACAGTGGGAGTCATTTAGCGAAGCAAACATAATATCTACAATGCGAGCGTCATACAAACGCTCACGGTGGAATTTCGACGAATTATGCGATCTCTATATTTTAGGCACAGGGCTCGGCACGAGGTGGCTAGTTGAAAATGCAAAAAACGAAGTCTCTCTTGACTTTTGCAAATTTTTACGAAGTCCCCTTTGACCCTAGACCAGGGCTCGGCACGAGGTGGCGTCCCGAAATTGCAAAAAATGAAGTCCCCTTTGACTTCAATAAAATTACGACATCCGTCACGAGATATTCGAAGTGAAAATACATGAAAAGGAACGGAACAAAGCAACAGCAGAAAAAAACGAAAAAGAATCATCGAACATACCGATGATATTCATATTCTCCGGAATGGCGGCATGATGTATCCATCGTGCAGCAATACGGCCTAGAGCAGCCTTTCCGCGGCCATTTAAAATTTTCAAGGGGCTATAACTAAGCGGGGAGAAGGGGGTTTGAGGCGGTTTAGGAACCATTTTGTAGGGCTTGGGATGTAGATGCAAAGTATGTAAAGAAAGTAGAAAAATTATGTGAGAGAGGAAAAATTTATGACTTTTTCTTTCCTAAGCCACCTCAGGTGGCTATCCAGGGCCGGTATGTATCAATCGCCCATCCGGGTAAGTTACCCGGACAGGTAGTTTCCGCTTCATAGCTCGGTGCTCTGGAGATCTGTGTTCTTCCTTGTTTGTTCATCTATAGGAGGCTTTACTACCCTAATATTGTAGCACAATGAGTAGCAGCACTTTACTTTGTAAGCTGAGATATTTTGTTTTTTGTATGATCCCGAACGGGATCTCCCACTGATCACGCTCACTTTCAAAGTTATTTATATCTGCAAAAACTCATTGAAAACGTCATAGAGTTTTGCTGTCGATCTATTACGACAGTGCTACGCATGTTTTTAGTATAACAGATGAAATGTGCAAGTTTTGAGTTTTTCGATAAAGCCCAACTCGCGAGCACAGGTTCATCGAAGATTTTGTCAACTTGATTTTCCACTTATTTCTTTCACAAACATGCGTAGCACTGTCGTAATAGATCGACAGCAAAACTCTATGACGTTTTCATTGAGTTTTTGCGGATATAAATAACTTTGAAAATGAGCGTGATCAGTAAGAGATCCCGCTCGGGATCATAGAAATAACGAATTATCTCAGCTTATACAGCAAAGTGCTGCTACTCATTGTGCTACAGTATTAGGGTAGTAGAGCCTTCGAAAGATGAACAAACATGGAAGAGCACAGATCCCCAAAGCACCGACCTATGAAGCGGAAACTATCTGTCCGGGTAACTTACCCGGACGGGCGATTGATACATACCAGCCCAGGTGGCTTGAAAGCCACCTAACTCCGAAAAAAGTTGAGCACACCTTTAGTTCACATAATTTTTTCATAATTTTTCATACTTAGTCCTAACTCCCCATTGCCCATCTACACACCTATTTTGGTGTCATTTCATCTTCACTTCGCTGTAAACAAACCTTTTGTTTATTTGCTAGCGGCATGCCGGCAGCGTGCCGGCCGCAGACCGAAAGACAACGTTATGCTCTACCGCAAAAACGATATCCCCTTTGCTTTTTCCCCAAAAACGATATCCAGCTTGCTTGCCAAGCCACCTGCGCCGTGCCCTGTTTAGGCAAGATACATGAGAGCGTGTTTACGTAGGCTCGTACTTCGGCAATTATTACGAAATGGAGCCTTAGACATCCGCCGTCGATAGCACAGTTCCTACTAAGCGACGGGCGCGGTCTGAAACTGTTCGAAATAAGGCGTTCTGTGACCAATGGAAGGCGTGCACCAGACCGTTAAGGTCTTTGCTTCAGGATCCATAATGATCTCGCGCACCTTACAAAGACTAAAATCGAGGCTCCATCGATTCATACAGCTACAGGATGATGCACTGTTCAACCTGCCTCGCTTGCCATATCGCAGAGGATGAAGCCCAACCGAAGGGTATAAACCATAGGAGCGTCGGCCAAAACCCAACGGCTTTATTGGTCATCGGGCAGCAGGGTAAACGCCGCGAACCCTGAGCAGGCCACATTGAACCATTTGACATTCGGCGTCTGGCCTCGGTGAAGAACCTCGCGAAGTTTTAAAGCGAGCGGCACGATCTTCGAGCTAGGCAGTTCTTCCATGTTTGGAAGGAAGACGCGTAAGGGAGTACTCCCTCCCAGCAGTGGCGGTCCCAGGATTTCGGACCGGGGGAGGGGGGAGGTGCGCGGCAAAAATTGTTTTCAAATGAAGGTGCGTGGCGTTAGCCACGCACTTCGAAAAATCTTTTTAGGTACTTCTCAAAATTTCTGCGGGTCCACAACCCCCCGAAAATTTTTTTTATAAGGTTGATTTGAATTTTTAAAAAATTTTAAAAATTATTTTGATTATTTACAAAAAACATGTCGTTTGCACATTTTTATAACCCATATAGGTAAGTCAAAAATTTCGCGACCCATTCTCGGGGGGGGGGGGGAGGGGGGAGGCGCCCCCCCCCCCCTCGGTCCGCCACTGCCTCCCAGGTGTGCATCGGCAGAAACTGTCTGATAAGCTGACAGAGTTGATCGCGGGTCAAAGCGGCAAAGGCCAGCATTGACGACGACGAGCTCTGGAGCGCCTTCAAAAACTGCCTTGAAAAAGTTGACACCTAGATGATGTCTTCTGAAGGTCATGATGATGCCAAACACGCGGTTAATTTGTTCGCGGGGCGGAACAAAGGCAAAGTGCGACATCCGGAAAAAGTAAGTCGAGGTGTTGTTTAGCGCGGATGTGCGAAAAACACGGGATTGAGCGAACGCCTCTTCTGAGTAAGTGAAGACTGGTTTGACGGCTTCACGTCATAGACCCAGACAAAGTCTTTGATGGCAATAGAAGTCGAATTTGTCGAATCCCTCTTGCTCGTTGGTGATGTCAATCGCCTGCGAATTCATGATTATACAGTGAAGCTCACGCCGATCAGGTCCAGCAAAATGTCTATAGACTCAAGGATCACACCGAATTGGTACAAAACTGGTCATTTTCCACGCCAAATTTTAGGCTCAGCATGTATCGCCGTGATTCATTGTAGGCGGCACTTGGGCTTCTCCGAACTCATTATAAGTGCCCTCTAATACATCTTCGACCATTCTCAAAGTGTGATCACAGAAGGCGATTGTGTCTTCCAAATGTTGCAATTTAATGAATGGGGGTTTGTGAACGACCGGCCCTAATGCCAATGCGCGGGAACAATGAACGAGCGAACTTCGTATTGCTATAGGCTGACGAGGGAAGGTGCCTATAATCGTTCAGTGGCAGGTCCGATACTGCTTGAATGTTGTGGTCAATTAACAGATTATATGGACGGGGATTAACTAAGTGAGCCCATGGGTAGTGAATTATAAGATAGTGGTCAAAGTCCGGCGGCGTAAACTCCTGGAGTGGACAGAGCTCAGGCTTGTTGACGTGGCAGATAGCTGGGAAACGGTGCTCGTGCGGTCGCTGAAGAGAGACGGCGTTTTCCGTTTCGGCAGATGGGCCGGGTGGAGGAGAGGTAGGTCAACCCTGGATGTTGCTGGAAACTGGGTGAGGCTCTCGAGAACCTTGTGGAGCCCTGCGGCCGCGAGCACATGACGGAGTAAAGGAGGATGAATCTCTGGATGGTTTCGGGAAACGTGCGCCTCTCCTGAAACGGCGGAAGGACGGGCGTGACCCTCTGGTAGAAATTTGGTGTGAGCCTCTAGTCAGTGGACGACGCTGTGCGGTTGGTTGCCTCGAGAGTTGGATGACGAAGGGAAGGGGGTTGGTGCCGCTTTCTTCGAAGAACTCGCGCCTTTGCTAAAATGTGGGGAAGCTGGACGCCTTGCGCTTGCTCTGCCACTCGGTGATGAGGAGCAAAAAGGCGCGATCGTACTTGTTCCGAGGGAAACGCGCCTTCTCCAAAGCGGGATGAGGACTGTTAAGAAGCCAGGACTGGATCATTGATTCCCACTCAGAAGAAAAGCCAGCAGGAAAGGGGGCTGCAGGAGTGGTGAAAGACTGGGCGTGAGGGAAGACGCAGGAGCCGCTTGCATCAATACCGTGGCTGACAGCTTGGTTGGGCAGCGGCTTGTGACGATGACGAAGGATTAACGGAATCGTCTGATGCCAGGAGTTCTTTTTCGGAATACTCCTTAAGGGAACTGAATCTCCCTTAGGAGATGAGAAGTCGTCGAGACTGATGGGAAGGTCGATCGACTCCTGAGCTGAGCTGGGAATGTCCTGACGTTCGAGAACTAGACAAGCAGCTCTAAGTCTGCGAGTCTGCAAGCATCGCATGGATTAGTAATGGTCTTTATGGTCGCAATTGCTTCATGAGCAGATTAAGGCATTTCGTCGTACTCTAACATTGAGCATGACTCTCGGATAGCTTCACGTTTGTAAATTGGGCAAGTGGCTCGATAAGATGAAAGAAACTCCCCTGACGGGTCGTCCATTGAGCGTGGCTCTTGAATAGCTTTAGGTTGATAAACTGAGCAAGTGGCCCGAGAAGACGAGTGGGACTTCCCCGATGGCGGGTTGTCCGAGTCGGGACTATTGGTGCTACTGTGAACTGAGATGTTATGCATAAATGTGCAAGCATAAACGTACTTGTCCCAGTCCGACTTTCTCTCATTAATGTAGGTGCGAAGCACTGGGTGGAATGTGGCAGATACCCACTCGCAGGCGCCATTCCCTTCGTGGTGGTACGGAGTGGTGAAGTACCGATTGATGCAAAGAAGTCGGCCAATCTCAGTCATCACCTCGCCTTTGAGATAAGGGGCATTATCTGAAATGAGTTGAGTCTGGTGCCATATTTGAGTTCAGTCACAACCGCTTGCGCAAATGTTACCGCTGTGCAGTCAGGAAGAGGAGCAGCAACTACATTAGTAAAGTGGTCAATCATGGCGACGATGTATTTGTTGCCTTAGTCGGACGTTTGAAACGGGCCTGTGAGGTCAATATAAACTTTTCAAAAACGCCTTGGCTAAAAACCGTGATAAGTTCCCTGTTCAACTGTTGGGCTTTTTTGTGCTGACAAGCTTCGCATGAACGAGTTAACAGATAGATATCTTCTGCCATTCGCTGCCAATAGTACTCGCGTGCAATTTTGGCTAATGTCTTACGCCAATGTAAATGGCCGCCAGCGAAGGAGCTGCTATGAAACGCCAGAAAGACTGGTACGCGTAGCTTCTCAGGGACGTCCAAACGTTCATGCCTAAGAGAAGGATGAGGTTTTGCGTCAATGTGGTACAGGCAGCCATTGTTGTGAACTACGCACTGCTCGACGACTTTCAGCCAATCACCCTTTTCCCTATCGGGGACGTTGTCTGGAAACCGCTGTGTTTCTAGAAAGGTCATAATTAATAAACAAAAGCGTCATTTTTCTGTTCTACTAAGGCGTCGTAAGGGCGGAGAACTCGACTGTTGGCAAGGTAAACTAGAGTAGTCTTAATAGTAAAGATGAGGACACATTTATTGATACTTACCGGGAACTCGACTATGTCGTTGCTGTCGTCAGCATCGTCGTCGGCAACCACGTTCGAGGGCCTTTGAGGTACTTGATAGTAACATCATAGCTTTCAAGTTTTACTACCCATCGGGCTAAATCATCGTGTTTTTATTAAGAGAGGGCAAGAAGGTCAGCGGGCGGTGGTCTGAAAAGATTGTGGTGTGGTTGCCATAAATGATTGCGCGAAAGAACCTTAAGGCACTGATAATCTCGAGTAGTTCGAGATAAGTGGGCCCAACCAGGCCAAAATTGGGATGGCGGGAGCCCGTGTGGCGAGAGTATTGCGTCACGTGTGCAGATAGTCAGTCTGTTCCCTCCTCAATCTCTTCGCTCTCTGCGATAACGCGCGTACGCCGCGCTAACCCCTAGCGCTGCGAGCTCGAAACTCAACCAACTGTTCGGCCTGATCCCGATTGGGGCAGACTGTACTTCTATGATGAATTTTAAAACTTGCAATTTGCTAGGCCAAACAAAACAATGACTTTGTAAAGTTCGGATGCGAACTTGTTTTCGATAGTCAAATACCCCGTCAGTCCATTCTGTATGTGATTTTTAGCGAACCATTCATTGAATCCGTTCGCTTGAATGCATGCAGAGCTTGCCGTGCCGGTAATGTATCTTATGCCAAGCGTTATCAAGTAGAATACCCGCTTTGTAATACTTTGTTACCTAAGGAGATTTTGAGAATTTTAATGGAACAGGTCATGAACTCATACTCCACTCAAAATTTCCGCAAAGCGTTGCGGCTGCGCAACATTCACCAGTCCAAAAGTCTGCTCCCTGCACTTGACGCCATGTCACTTATGGCAACGAATAGTGTATCGTCCCTCCTTCTCCCCTCTAGTCCACCCTCTGTAACTTTTTAGCAACAAAGTTTTTGTGGAACCCAAATTATCGAAGCGGCGTGCGCGCTGTGAGTCTTGATGCGTGACCAAAGTACGAAAGTTTTTGCTTAAGGCCTGATCTACGTCGATTCTTCTATATCCCCTACTACCACCGCCCTATTTGGTACATGTTCTATGATTCGGAAAAAATCATGGTTCATCCCATCAAAATCAACCAAGCTGTTGAATTAAGAACTCGAGCAAGGTGAGGCTCTCCTTGTTGTATAGGCAAGTCATTGTACGCAGAAATTGGACGCCGTTGCGTCTGAGTAAGACTGTGCGTGTTCGGAAGAGAAAGAAGACGGTAAGAGAAATGAGGGTGTGCTTGATAAGAGGGACACCGACAACGACCGCAATGGTGTCCTATCTCTGCGTGCGACGATTCCACTATACGAGAACAGCAAGTAAAGTTCAGATAATCACAGGTTCTGCAACACAGTGGTGAAAACCTTCCATGAAGCACTCATTCCGCGACTTGAGCCCGTTGATAAAGTGTAATATGTATTATACTGCCTTTTCTGTCTGTATATGCTTCGAACTTCATCTCTACAAGGCCTCCACAAATGTCACAAAAACAGGCCTTTAGATTGCTTATTCATTTAGAGGAGCGAAGACTTACTGAGCAAACAGTACCGTGTTTTAAAATGAAAAAAACATGCATTAAATTAGATTAGAGCAGTTTGATGGTTGTGCTCAAAGGTATAAGTTCTTTTTGCACATCTATCAAATTGAGGATTGATTTGACAAATTCCTCGCCGCCTTTCTTGTGTTGCAGGCATTCAGTAGAGCTCCAATTTTTTACATGCTGTAGTCCACACCACTGTGACTACGCGAAAGTGGTCAGCGTGCACAGTGTACGAAGCACACCGTGAGAACGTTCGCCTATGTCGCGCAGTCCGGCACCTGGGCCCAGCAGAAACCCCAGTTGTTCCATTTTCTACCTTTCTGAATAGTGCCTATTCTGTACAACTTTATGTTATTTTGTTGCGCTTTTCGCTCCACTGTTTGTGCATGAAGAACGCTTGAGCATTTTGCCAGGTCACCGCAGAACAGTACAGCGGTGCATGTTCACCATCTAATCGAAAAAATACACATAACAGGATGTTTGAAATTGTGAGTCATCGTCAAAAAGGCAGCAAATCTGAATGCAGCTTGCACACAAGCCACCATAGGCGCGATCGGTGAGAATTTGCTCACCTCCCTTTCACCCCTGAGCCAGGACCAAGGTGACCCCCTTCACCAAAAGTCGAGAAAAAAATTCACAGTGAGGTAAGGTTAAGCATAGGAAATATTTGTACGGGAATTGTTTGTGAATCAGAAAGGAGGAAGAAGATTCATGGGCATTTATGAACTTCCAGAAGGAGAAAAATTGTAGCTTCTGTAGCTGCACAGCAAGTCAGCGAGGAAAGTTTCGTGAAACGTTCCCACCTGGTTTCAGGGAATAAAGTGTTTGCTTAGAATCCGTTCATAGAAGTAGCTGACGAAAGATGTGCTTAGTGATTTCTGGACAGTTAGGAGTTTTCAACATAAAAAAATCATATATTTTGTAGATGAATAGCTGGTACATGAAAATATTGACCGTCGAAACCGCCTCGTCTTCCGTTTTCAGATTATATAGAGTATGTCTGGGATCCGTCCAAAAAAGTGCGTGGGTGAAGGGTGTGCTCAGTGAGTTTCGGAGATTTTTGAGTTTTAAAAATAAAAAATTCATAACTTTTGTAGGTGAACATCTTGTACGCCGATATAAACATCATTGGAACCGTCTCGTCCTTCGCTTTCAGAATTGTACAGCATGTCCGAGATCCTTTCAAGAAAGTGCGGTGAAGGGTGTGCTTAGTGATTTTTGGGGATTTTCGAGTTTTTAACGTAAAAAATTCATAACTTTTGTAGAGGAAAACTTGTAAAAGGAAATAGTCACCTCCGGAACCGCCTCATCCTCCGCTTTCAAAAATATATAGCATGTCTGAAATCTGTATAAAAAAGTGCCTGGGCGAAGGGTGTCCTAGTGATTTTTGGAGATTTTCGAGTTCTTAACATAAAAAATTCGTAACTTTTACAGATGAACATCTTTTACGCCGAGATGGCCAACGTTGGATCCGTCTCGTCCTACGCTTTCAGAAAATACATACTTTGCCTGGGGTTCGTACAAAAAGTGCCGGATAAAGGGTGGGTGAGACTTTTATAATGGGAGTCCTCAAGTAGAGGCTTTTCACCATTGTAAAAAGACGTCTACTTGAGCACTCCCATTGTAAAAGTCTCACACACACACTTCACCCGGCACTTTTTTCAACGAACCCCAAGCAAACTATATATTTTCCAAAAGCGGAGGACAAGGCGGTTCCAACGGTGACCATCTCGGCGTAAAACATGTTCATCTGTAAAAGTTATGAATTTTTTATGTTAAAAACTCGAAATCTCCAAAAATCACTAGACACACCTTTCACCCAGGCCCCTTTTTCAAAGGACCCCAGGCAAAGTATATATTTTCTGAAATCGGAGGACGAGGCGGTTCCAACGGTGACCATCTTCATGCACTATCTGTTCATCTTCAGAGGTTACGGATTTTTTTATCCTAAAAACTCGTAAATATCCAGTAATCACCACGCACTTTTTTCAACAGACTCCAGGCAAACTATATATGCTCTAAAAGCGGTAAACAAGATGGTTTTAAAACATTTCCCTTGCTGACCTTGCTATTCATCTACAGAAATTACGAATTCCTTCTAAAAAAATCCGTAAATCCTCAAAAATTGTCTAACTCTTTCCGAAACGAATGTTCTTGCACATCTTCTATGGTAATTTCAAAAACAGCAGGGTGATGTAAAAAAGGGAAAAGGAAATGTTGAAAAATACAACGTGCTGGTCAGAAATATAATTGTGTGCTAATCCAGCAACACATCGGTTCACATTTCAGAAAAAAGACAACTAGTGATGACAAGCAATTGAAAATTATAAACTTTGGCTAGGAAAAATGATGGGAGAACACCATGGCTCTCCTCCACCCCCCTCCCCATCGAAATTTTATAATTTCTCTAACAAGTGAAACACCCTTCACCCTGGAGGGGCTGCGAGCACTGTGACCCCTTCACCCTGGAGTAATCATTCTCACCTTATCGCACCTATGCAAGCCACTCACTGGGGCGCCGGTGGGGGGGGGGGGGGTTACCATCCAAATGATGTCATAATTGAGCAGAAAATTTAGCACTTCATAAAGTCAAAGTATTCGCTATCTTTGCTCATTTGTGGCTGTGCTTCCATTGCACATTAGAGAATGACGTCTAAGGCAGGCGCTAAGGTCTAGGTATTTCTGAACCTGCCCTAGCAACTGTTGTGATAGGATAGTACCTCTCAGGGCTGCGATTGGATGACCTTGTGCAGCGAGGAGTTGATCTAAATGGACGCGTTGCGGACGCGGACGACTTTTCTCGGTCGGTGTTGGAGAAGAATTTCTCCCAAAACACTTTCCTAGCTACACCATTTTTCTACCCTTCTGTTCATTCGTCTTGTCAAAATGATAGGTTTACACCAAAAAAGCTACCTTAGCAACAACTTGTAGTTTCGTGGAAAATCACCGTTTGGTTTTTTACTCTACGATTTGCTTTCATCAGTATTGTTTTACTTGCATGCATGCAATCCTTCCACTATTACGCATATCACAATCTTTAGATAATGTATATTTTGCATTATGGCTTGTGAGGAAAGCATAGCAGTCTTTTGTGCCTCTATAATTCAGCGCCAATTCAAATTGGCACATTTAGACTACTTTATGAAAACAGCCGAGCAATTTATCGGTGTTGTCTACATAGTGTTAGCATCTCTTTTTTTCTAGGAAGTCATTAAATTCTTCAAACAACAAATTCTTATATAACACAAATTTCAATTAATTTTGGCTGACATGATAAGCATATACTGATCGCTTTGAATTGGGGGAAACCACTTCAAAGCGATCACTTACGACAGTTAGAAAGAAAACACCTTGTTTGCCTTTCCTGTCATTTCTTTTTCATGCAAAACCCGTAAAAAGTTTAGAAAAAGTAACCACTTTATTTTATTCGTTGCAATTTTCTACTTGTCTTCTTCCACTTCCCTTCAGTTACAACTAACAAGGAAAGGAAGGTTGGTCGAAGTGGCCTTTTGGAATGAGATGTATACTGCCTTGTAGAGCTTGGAACGCTAATTCCAAATCTATCTTTGATTTCTGCTGCGGGCTTCTGGGCGAGGAGTTATGAAGGTTTTTGCGAGTAAAAATCTGAATGCAGGAGTAGGCTAAAATCAGTCGTAACATTTTTTAGACGGCTTAATTGGTAGTCGGGTCACTCGGTCCAACAAATATTCTTGATTCGAATATACCAATTCGCTGCTGCCTCATTTGAACATTGAGAAAAGGTTACGACTGATTTTACCTTATTTTTGCATTCAGATTTTTACTCACAAAAACCGTCATAACTCATCGCCCAGAAGCCCGCAGCAGACAGCAAAGGTAGATTTGAATTCAGCGTTCCAAGCTCTACAAGGCAGTACACACCTCATTTCAAAAGGCCACTTCGACCAACCTTCCCTTGTAAGATGTACAAATGACAGCTTCTGACATTCTATGTTCACCACAGATTATTTTGAGAGTATGTCCTCTTTCAGAATGAAAGCGATGAAATGCTAGACTGTATACTAACAACAGTTTGCCGTCCTAGCCAAACTTTATGTATCATCGACTCCACGATTCGTGTAGAGGCGGGGTTTTGCCAACTCAAAGCGTGGCGGTTTTTGATAGCGAGAGAGTACGAAAAGCAATGCTATGACGTGGAGGTTTAACAAGTTTACCTGTGTTATCAGGAAAAGTCTGCAATACACCTCTACACGAATCGTGGAGACGATCATACAGGTTCATGTAGTCAGGCTTCAGTAGTAGACATAGACTAGTAAAATGTGTATCATGCTGAAAAAAAAAGCTATGGCGATTGAATACTGTGTCGACTTGTATAAAAACTACTTTTGAAGTGTTGACTCTGGCGTATGTTGGCATAAATGAGTCTACGGAAGTACTTGCAGATTCAAAGTAATTACTGTGCATTGTGGCCGCGTGCTTCTCCTAAACATGCAGTCACATCAACCATGTAGAGACAATGCATGTTGCAGAAGGGAACAAACATGGGAAGCAAAAATATAAGAAAAAAAACAAAGTTCTAGCACTGTCACAAACATAATATAAAAC